CAAATTAAGATAATGTAAAATATATTCGTAAATTAAGGAAAAGGATAAATGGGCAAGACAGGCAGTACTGTACTTGTAATTGGCTTGTTGGTGACTTAGTACAAGTGTAGCTATCTATGTGTAAAAACAATTAATAAAGTAAACTGACACTGCGTATGGCATGTGCGCAAATGCCATGCCTGTTGGCATTGGGTTGAAATGCATAAATACCGCATAATCTAAACCTGCCATATCCTGGGGATGCCTCAATGCATCTTTACCTTGCAGGTTGCTATGTTGCCTTGTACCATCTAAAACCACCAAAAAATACATTTGACATCATAAGGGATCCATCAATACCAAATCCAATGGATTTTAAGAAAACTACTAAAGTTTTATTTTCCATAGTGTATCATGTAATTTCATTCATGGTCAATCTTAACGCAATTGACCTGATGGCAAGAAGATGCTATGCCCTCTGTAATATTAGTTTATTATTTGTCTTTACACAAAGATGGCTTTACAAGTGCTTAGTCACCAAAGAGTCAGTTATTAGACCTACCAATCTCACCTATGTTTTATTTCTTTGATAACATGGTAATTATAATATCAGCAATAATAAAAGTATCTATCAATAGCATTAGAAAGAAAGACACATTTTCCCATAAATTAAAGGATTAGGAAAATCAGCTGTGGTCCCATAGGGCGCACTGATTATCACACGTAGTCATCTGCGTACAACAAAGTTCACAAAAAAACTACAGTGGACATTACATAAACCCGAAGTGAATAAGTTAACATCCTAGTAACTAATAATGCATTTATAGTGGCTGATCAGATCCAAAATGTATGAGAAGCTTTTATTTTATTCTTTGATTAAACCATTGTGAGTATGTTAATGAAGTCCCTTATCAATAATGGACATAAAAATTACACTTTCATTACAGATAAAGGAACAACGATATAGTGAAGCTGTGCAGATACTGAACCACATCCTAGATGCCTACCCAAATGTGAGTGTCTTTCGATGTCAGGATGTAATGGAATCAGAATGCATAGACATCTTTTCAGAGCTAGTATCATGATTTTCTTTTTTTGATATTAGGACATCATGTAAATAGTGTGCTTTTCCAGAATTAATTACGTTTTGAATATGACATACAGATAGTGTTTATGAGGATATTTCCACTAGCTCATTGTTGCTAATGCACTTTTTGCATAACTGTAGGTGCTGTATGAAAGATTTTGAAGACTTGATTTTGATAGTTTCCTTTGATTGTTGAATATTGTTAATAGCATGAACAGAGA